GTCCCAGGTGGAGGTTGCCCCTGGACATAGGGACCCAGTCCCTGCCAGCCACCAGGCCCGGAAGGCAGGGCGCACTTCCCCTGGCGGCGGCGCGGAGCCCCAGGCCAGCTGTTCCCCTCCTGTGGTGGCATCACCCACTTCCCCTGCTCAACGCCTGCTCGTGCCGCTCCCAGACCCTCAGGCTGCAGATGTGCTGTGCTCAGCTCTCCGCCAGGAGGCTGAGGTTTCTCCCTTGCCTCCTAAGTGGGCTACCCCCGCCACCTCACCCCTGCCACCTCTAGGACACCATGTCCTAGAACCCAGGTCCCCAGCGGAGGGGTCTCAGTCCCGGGGTCCCAGGAGTGCCAGTCCCAGGGTGGGCTGCAGGGCCCACTGTGCTTCTTTCCTCACCCGAGGACACGTGTCCACAGAAGTCCCAGGGTCCTGGCCGGCCTGGGAAGAGCTGCTGCTCCTGAGGAGCGGGGATGTGGGCAGGGGCCTGCCCTCAGGGACTCCAGGCCTCCTCCTCCAGGCCCACGGTGGGGGTGGGGACAGAGGGGGCTTTCCAGAGTGGAAAGGGAAGGAGTCGTTGTGTCCCTGACTCTGGCAGGTAGGGGGCTGGTGCCTGCTCCAGCAAAAAGAAGGCAGAAGTCCAGAGGCCTCCTCCTTTCCCCTCCCCTCCCCTCTGACCAGCCCTGGGGGCCCAGGCCTGGAGGTCAAGTTCCTTCCCCTTCTGCTCCAGTTCCTCTGAGCTGCAGATACGGTAAGTCAGCATGATCAGACTTCCCTGAGCTCTGGCCTGCTCCCCACTCAGCCGAGCTGGTGCCCCGTCAGCTTCCTTCCCCCAGGCTGGACCCTTCTTGGTCCTGGAGGTGGCGGGGCAAGGACTGGCTCTCACACTCAGCATCTGGAGGCCTCAGGCCGCTCACGTTCTTGAAGTCTGGGGGATGGGGGTTGTGGAAGGAGGAGCAAACAGGAACCACGGCCTGGGTCACCTGCCCCTCGCCAGCCTTAGGGCCTTCCACCACCCTGTGGTCCCCCTCCTGCTTCACCCTTGGGCGCTTGGGGCTGCTGGCCTCCCCCAGCTCCTGCCCCTCAGTGAGGACCAGACTGCCATCCTGGTGGAGCCGGGGGGCTGGCATTGCACCCCCGAGGAGACAGGGGCCAGGGCAGGAGAGGAGGAGTGGGGCATCTCTGAGGCTCCCCAGCCCCTGCAAAACCTCCGAGCTGTGCCGGGGAGCTTTGCGTAATATCCAAGGAGGGAAGAGAGGCCATAGGATCTGGCGGAAACCATCTGGTGGTGTGTTGTGGATGCAGCCGCCAGGCCTGACTCCCAGCTGGGGGGCACCAGGGCCTGACCAGAGCCGGCGGCTGTGGCCAGCCCTCGCCCTTTCAGCGGCCCGAAGACTAGGGAGGTGACCACGGTGGCACTGGGCCTTTGGCCCCACCCTGGCATCTCTTCTCTGGCAGGGGGACCGCAGAGGAGCCACGCCCTGGCTTCCGGCCTTACTTCAGCCCACCTCTCCGTGGGGCGGGCACCCAGCAGGTGGTGAAGTGTGCGGGAAGGAGCTGATCCCGTTTCTGGCTGCCAGCGCCCCTGCCCTTCCTGTTTGCACGGCCAGGCTGGCCGGGGTCCCTGCCACAGGCCTCACCCATACCCACAGACTGGTCCCTTCCTGGGTGGATTCGAAGGAGCCTCCCCCTCCTCTGCCCTGGCTCTGCTGCCCTCCCCCCCACCCGGTCAAACGCCTGCCAGCTTGGGTTGGCAACCACAGGGGCCCTGTCGTGGGAACGTGCTGTCTGGGAAATGGGGCCCCGAGATTTGGCCCAGAAACAGGTCAGAGTGAGAGGCTCTCAGAGGAAAGCGAAGAAGGTGAGACAGCATGAGTCAAAGGGAAAGAGGGGGCCTCAACCTTCCATCTCACCCCAGGCCTTGTGACTCACTGGGACGCAGGTGGGCACCCAGGTCCAGCTCCATAGCCTGTGAGCATCTCGGAATCAGGAGCTCAGCCAAGCCCTCAAGGCTGTTGCAGGGCCAGCCTCCTGGGGGGCACCTGCGGAAGGAGCCTCAAACCAGATGGAGGCCAGGCCACTGGCCTGCTGACCGCCTCCCACTTGCAGACAACAGCACCTAGGGCCACCTGGCCTTAGCCCCAGCCTGGAGGTGCCTCAGGGAGACAGGGCCAGAGCCTAGCTGCCCACCCGCCCCAGGCGTGAGCTTGAGCGAGGCAGAGTCCATAGGTGCGCCCAGCAGGCCCCCTGGAGGCTGAGCTCCAAAGCCATGTGGCTCCTGCAGAGGGAGCCCGCGCACACTTGGCTGTCAAGGACGAGAGGAGCCCGGGGTTCAGGGAACGCCTTGGGAAGGTGGGTGCAGGGAGCGCAGTGGCCCATGAACTCCCAGGTTAGGGGTATAGCGCGAGGGCTGTGCGGGGAGCCAGCTGCAGCCGGTGGCGGGACGGGCGGCTGCCTGGAGCAGCAGGGGACACTGGTGCCTGCCAACCATGCAGCGCCCGCTCTCCCGCCCCTTCCCTTCCTGCCCAGGCCAGGGGGCACGTTCACGTCCTTATCCGGAAGTGAACGGCTGCAGGAGGTCTGTGCCCTGAACCTGAATTTGGCTTGGCTCTTTCCGTTCTGCACGCCACGTGCTCTGGTGGGCGGCACGCCTGGTGTGGGGGTGTCGCTGGGGGACTGGGAATCCAGGACCAGCCCAGCCAGCGACCCAGGCTGACGGGGAAGTGTGTCTGACCTGCAGGAGGAGAGCACCACTTCCTCGAGTCTGCAGATGGAAAGGTTCCCACCTCGTAGGGTCGTGGCTAAGGGCCCACAGCACCCCACATTCTGTGCCCAGCGTGGTCTGACCCCCAGGGTCTCGCAAACTCCAAACAGATGAGTGTCCCCTCAGGGTCTATGCTGGGCTGTGGGAATGTCACCCTTTGTCATCTATGCTCAGACAGGATGCCAAGCCGGGGAAGGTTGGCTAAGGGGCTGAAGCATGGGTGGGCTCCGAGGGCAGAGACAAGATCAGCTTCTTGTACCAAGAAGGTTGCTCTTGGGCCGGGGCCCTTGGGACGGCGGCGGGAACGGCAGCAGGGGGCTCTGAGGCTACAGGTGGTGCGGAGAAAGGTAATGGGCCCCTTGCCCAGGATTGGGGTCTCCAGGGGTCCCTGTGGAGATAGGGCTTCCCTGGACCCTAGGCCCCTGCCTCAGGGCAGCCCACAGCACTCTGGGCCTATGGGAGAAAGTGTGGTTGTAGAAGTTTAGAGAAAAGCAGGGACTGGCTCTGTCTGAGTTAGCCTGAGGCCGATGGAAGCCAAAGGGAGCAGGTGGGGAGTGGGCTGCTGAGCTGCTTAGGGCCCTGTGCCAGCTAAGCCGGCTGAGGGAGACCCCACTGCCTGGAGGAGCCCAGCCCCTGCCCTCCCTTTCCTGGCCCAGACATGCCCATCCTGCCTCACTGCAGCTGCTCCGGAAGGGGGCCCTCCTGCTTGGGGCCCCAGGGACTAGGCAGCCAGCAAGGGCCCCGGGGACAGGTTGGGAACCTCTGAGGAGCTAGAAAAGACCGGGTGCCCGGTCTCTGCCCAGGTCAGGCCCACGGGAAGTGCAAAACACAAGCGTCTTGATGCCGGGCCTGACCCAAGATATCAAGGGGAACCTCTATGTGGGCGCCAGCCGGCAAGCCAGACTGCCTGGGCCTTCTTGAGTGAGGCTGGGACTGCTCCATGCCCCATTTCCTCCATGGCTACCTTCCCTTCTGGCACAGATTAAATGACAGTGGACAGGTGATCCTCACCGGCCTGCCCTCACCTTGCACAGGTTCCCAGCTCCCATGCCTCCTGCCATCCCCCACACCAGTGCACAGAAGGGAAACTGAGGCTCCCAGCTGAGGGCCAGCCCAAGTCGGGGTGGAGGGAAGGGACTTCCCAGTCTGGATGGGCCCTGGCCCTAGAGATGGACTGTTGTAGGACAAGCCATTCGATCCAAGCAGGGGCAAACCCATTTCCCCCAGCCCAGCCCACCGGTCTCTCCTCAGGAACCCAAATGGACCTTGTTTTCTCCTCTCAGGGCTGCCCCCATCTATCCGGGGGCCCGAAGTTCAGTATTCTCTGGACCCCCACCCCCCAAGAACCACCAAGGGGCTTCTGCATCTGACCCTTTCCCCTCCCCAGCCTCAGTGGGGCAGGCCGGTCCCACCCCTGCACTCCATCCGCAGCAGGCCCTGCTGCTCCCTGGGCCCCAAAAACCCCTCTCCCCACCCAGCCTCTGCACCGGTGACCACACAGGGCAGCTCCCTGCTCTGAAGGTCAATCTTCTCTTCCACCGGCCTCCCTGCTCCTGGTCAGTGGCTGAGGTGAGCCGTGACACAGCTCCTGACATTCAGGGTCCCTGCTGCCCTCTCTCCTCGCCCAGCCCACCCTGGTCTACAAGCCTGTGTGGAGCCTGCGTCCCTCAGATCCCTCTGCCCCACATAGGCTGCAGGGGCCCAGGGGCCTCTGTGGTTCCCATCACAAACCCACACTCAGGGCCTGCATCCTGTTCTTCCCCGCCTTCCGGCCCAGGTGGACAGGAGCAGAAATGGATGTTGGGTACCCGCTGCCCTCACACCCCTGCTCTTTTCAGCATACATAGAGTGGGACCTTTTGGGGAGTGGTACCAACTCCAGACCAGCCTGGCCCTATACTTTACTGCTCCCCTCCCCTCCTTGAGACAGAAGTTTCAGTAGGGGTGAGGCTTACGGGAGGAAAAGAGTAGGGGTGCTCTTGTGTTGGTAGAAAAATAAAGGCTCTCTTCCCCAGCAGAGGGTGAGAAGGCCTTTCAGAGCAGGGGCGGGGGTGGGGGGCCCAGACATGCACCCCACGCCCACCATCTCTGGGAGTGTAGGAGGAAGCCCCAGGCCTCCGCTACAGGGTCCATCCACCGTGGTCCCAAGTGGTGGGATGGAGGTCAGTCTCCAGTACACCCAGATGACTGGTTTGAAATGTACTTTAATTGGTTTTGTTTCCAGGATTCCTCATCCACGCCTGGTCTCAGGGCTCTCCCTATCCCCCCATTTGGGGGTTCAGACTCAAGAGGACAGGTGCAAGAAGAAAGAGAAGGTCCCTGGCAGAAGGGGGTTGAGTCTCCTCAATAAGGGGTTCCCGCCCCCACCCCCACCCTCGTGCCCTGGCCCAGCCACAAGCACGCCCACTGTCAGAACACGGTCTCTTTAATGGGAAACGCTGAGCCCTGCCCCTCCCCC